CAGTGCCTTTCTTCAATTTGTGGTTTCAGGAATTGGGCTGAAAAAATTGTGAAATACTATATTCAGAAAGCAACTACCAATAAACCATCTCCTTAGCTTGATATTTAGTAGTAAATACAGTTACATAGATATCTTTATTATTTATAATAAAGTATACATATTCCAGGTATACTCTGGAAGAGTGGTAGTGAAGGAAAAAGTATAGGAAGCATCAAGTCTATCTAAAGTTGGGGCGCCTAGGTGGCTCAGTCACTTAAGCATCTGATTCTTGATCTCAGCTCTGGTCTTGATCTCAGGGTCCTGAGTTCAAGCCCCACGTTGGGCTCCACACCCAGAGTGGAGCCTACTTTAAAAAAAAGTCTATCAAATGTATACTAAAAGTATACAAGTTGTTGTTTAATTTGGATTATCTTTTTTTAAAAAATATTTATTTATTTGACAGAGACACAGCGAGAGAGGGAACACAAGCAGGGGGAGTGAGAGAGGGAGAAGCAGGCTTCCCGCTGAGCAGGGAGCCCGATGCAGGGCTTGATCCCAGCACCCTGAGATCATGACCTGAGCCAAAGGCAGACGCTTAACGACTGAGCCACCCAGATGCCCCTGTTTGGATTATCTTTTAAAAGGGTTTTTGGAGGGGTGCCTGGGTCAACTCAGGTCATGATCCCAGCATCTTGGGATCTAGCCCTGTGTCTGGCTCCCAGCTCAGCAGGGGGTCTGCTTCTCCCTCTGCCTCTGCCCCTCCCTCTGTTCATGTTCTGTCTCTCTCAAATAAATAAAATATTAAAAAATAAATAAATAAAAGGGTTGTTGGATTCTTAGGCCAGCCTTTGATAAACCTCTTTTATCTATAATATAGCCTAACTGTGCAGCCTAAATTGTCTAGAATTCATATTCAAAATATATTTAAAAAATACACATTGTTCTCTTTCTTTAGTCGTCCTAGGGATGGAAAACCTTCTGAGGATTTTGGGGGATGTAGGTAATAGTGGCAGCTTTCCAAAAGGAGATCTAGAAAAGCATGTGTGTGTGTGCATGCATGTGTGGTGTCCAGCTCACATATACATATATGCACAAAAGTTTATTTGAACAAGGGAGGAGTTATAACAAAGTCTTACCAAGAAATAAAATTGCACGAGACACTGAGTAACTAAACCTACTTTGAAAATGGATGGTACATACTGTGGCCTTCAAAGCACTTGTCTTATTTTACAGAATTGAAGCTCAAACTGTGGAATGCTATCTAGGGAGGAAAAGCATATTTGGAATAACATATTTAGAGAAGTATTTGAGGACTGTTTTAATGTGGACAATGTCTCTGATACAGCATAAATTTTATATGAGAAATGAAAATGATGGTACTTTCAAATAGATCAACCGAAGGTTAACTGAGAAACATATAGAATTGTTTGGGTTAGAAGTGAATACGAGAAGCGACTTGGCCTTTAGGTTTTTTGGAAAAGACTTAGATTTGGTTTGGCCTTTGGTTTCTCTAAAGAGGTAGTAGTGAAAAGCAGTGGTTGAGATCCTGTTCTTGTACATATTTAATGTTGAAAATAGCAAGAGCCCCCAGCAGGATGAATTTGGGGTGTAGATGAGTATTTAACACAAGGCCATAAGGAGAGAGGGTTAAAATTAAATAATTTGCGTTGTATAATTATCTGTTTTCATATCTGAAGTCTCACTGAAAGGTATTAGATGCATTTTGAGAGGTACAGATAATTTGTGTATTTCATGTTTTTGATTTTCAGAACGCTCAGGGTTAAGCTAACATTTTTGACATGGGTACAAATTAACTGAATTTTAAGTAGGACTGTGAGAGGTTATGGCAGTGATGAGACAGATATTACAAAACAATTTTAGTCACCGATAAGGTGAATTTGCTGCACTGTTATCTATAGCATTAAAATATAGACATTCCAATCATTTTTCCATTTTAAATATCTGCTTTAATTAAGCCAGTTTTGGTAGTACACTACTTAAAGTGAAATAAGTAGACCTTTCCTATGTCCTGGCTAATCCAGATTGAATGTGAAGATAGGGCTGTCTCAGGACTCCGTATTCAAAATGTAGTTTGAAATCTGATTTACTCAGCTTCTCTGTTGGCCATTCATTCACTCTGCGGATTCTGAGATCACCAGCTAAAGCCTTGATTTTCACACTTCCACAGAAAATTTTATTTTATATTTTGAAAGAAAAGTGAGGAAAATTATTACATTTTGCTTTGGTAAGGCATATGTTCTAATTTAAATCTTTCTGGGAAAACTTAGTTCTTAATACTCGATTTTTGTCTTATGACACTATATCAACATATATGTGTGTTGAATTGTGAGGTTAGGGCAGGTTGTGTAACATCAGTATGTCATTGTGAGTACAAAATTTCCTTGACTGGTGAAAGTAACACATCTAAAATTCCATGAAATTGTGAATTTTGAGCAGAACTGTTTGGCCTACACATATTTTCATTCAGGTGAGGTCAGTTCCTGGCAAATTCCTATGAATCCCTCAGAGCTGAGTTTCTCTATAGGAGGGCTTTGTTAAAGCCCATCACAGACCCATTGAGATGCTCCCTCCTCTCAGTGCCTTGTGTGTCCAGTTAGGGTATCTACTGCATGCATTCTAATCTTTGTTCAGCCTGTCTCCTTCAGTGAATTGCTATTTCTCCAGGACAGGCTGTTCATTTTCCTCCAGTGCCTGGCACACTGCACATACTAGACCTGAAGGAAGGAGGGCAAAGACTGCATGCAGCCTTGGGCTGGGGTATCAGCGGGAGGAAAGACTGCCAGTTCTTGTAGCTTCCCCAGCTTGGGTTTGGGGTCTGTGCTCCTGGCTCACCTCTCACCTCCCATTTCATGCCTTCGTTGCTTACCTTCTAACTACTGCTCTCACCTCTGTGATGAGGCTTTCCTTCCCAAACCCAGCACTTCCTTTTAGTCATCGAGTATAGAAAAGCTTTTAGCCCTTACCTCTTAGGCACCTGGCTTGCATTTGGCATGCCTAGTTTGTTGCGACCCATGAGTTCCTTCTTTTCCATGACCCCAGACTCTCTAGAATCTCTATTTTTCTGACCGTCCTTTTGGCTTCTCTGTGGCCTCCTCCTTTCCCTTCTCCCTAAAATGGTAGTATTCTCTACAATTTTGTCCTGTACCCATTGTTCTTTTTTGATGTATTCTTCCTGGATAAAGTTCTTGAGTTTTTATATGCTTCCTGTTGATTAAATCATGGAGTATTTGTTGAACATTTTATTATATGCCAGGTGTACTATTTGACTTATGTCCTGGAGATGCAGTAGTGAGTAAAAGAGAAAAATTGCCACCCTTCAGGGAGCATATACCCTCTATGTGCTGACTTTTCCCTATTTATCATTCTAGGTCAGCCCTTACTCCCCAAACATATTGGGTCCCTTCCTTCTAGATGTTTTCAGTTGGATTTCCTATAGGAACCTCACATTTCCTATGTAGGACACTGAAGGCTCCCTCTGGCACATGGGGGAGAGGGTCGAGCTGCTTCTACTTCTGCATATCTGTCTCAGTTGGTCTCTTACCATCTATTGAGCCACCACTGACTCCTGTCTTCTTCCATCGCTCAGTCTCCAAGTTGTGTTGCGTTTCCACCATTACTTGAATCTGCGCTTGCTCTCTCCCACCATGCCACCAGTTCAGGACCTCAGTTTATCTGCTGGCTGCGGCACCCGCCCTGGCTCCAGGCAGCAGCTCGAGAGCAGGCTTTCCAGAAGCTGGATCCGACTACAGCGCTCTCTGTCAAAAGCACCCAGTGGTTCACCCCAAGATGCAACCTGAAGCCTTTGAGAGGACATGCAGGGCTCACACACATACTGGCTTCTGCCTGCTTCAGCTGCTTCTCTGCAAATTCTTCCTTCATTTGGATCTGAACTCCGTATGTCTCCTCATACACATCAGGCAGTTCACCTCCCTTGAGCCTCTGCTTTCTGCTCTGTGGTACTCTGTGCCCTGTCCCTTCCCAGCTCGAGCCTGGCGCTTTCTCATTTATTCTGCTGATCTTTAAGCCTTAGAGTCTGGCATACAGTGTAGATCAATATATGGTTTTGGAAGGAAGGAAGGAAAGAGGGAGGGATCTGTTGGATGAATGCTGCAGGCTTTTGTAGCACCGTGGGGAGGGACTTCCCCCACCACTGCTTTGCTCCTTTGAAGCACGCAGGGCAAGAAAGCCCAGCAGAGGCTCTAGTTCTGGCTCTCCTGGATGGCCTTGGCCCTGAGGCCCATGGGCTGACTCACTAAATCCAAAATAAAAGTCAGAGTTTAGTTTTGAACTGGTTATGTTTGGTAAGATACTGACATAGGGAAGGTGGCTTGTGACTCATAGGCTGGGTGCCTAGTCATGTGCACTAGTGATCTTTGAAAATTTTTACCCTAGACATTCTGTATTATCTAAAATCTCCCCTTTCACTTTCTAATGAGCACTCAGATGCATTAATGTTTGATCAGAAGTTGCAGACTCAGGTCCAAATTAAAGTAGTTGTTCTAAGAATACTTTGAAGTCAAAAAGCATTGCTAACCATTCAGTATACTTTGTCTTTATGACTAGTAAGCTAAAAGGAGCTGGGTGAGATTAACTGTCATGCTCATTTCCTATATGTATAGTAGAATTTTAGATGCAGATGTTTTCTCTCTGCAAACTCTTTCCTTCTCTTGTTTACACTGGATCCCTTGTAATTGTTAAAACCTTCCTAAAAGTAAACAATAAATGTCTTGTAGCCATCTAGGCTTTTTTCCTAAACGTTCTTCTGGGTTTTTATTTGCCAGCTTATTGGTTTTTTTTTTTTTTTTTAAATTAAATCATTGACTTGCAACATACTAGTTTTAGGTGTTACAACATAATGATTTGATATTTGTATTATTATGTATTTTTAGTATTGTCAAAAGTAAGGATAATTGTGTTTTTAATGTATATGTTAGTGTAATAAAATTTCTGCCTTTGTAATAATTAATGACTTAATCTGTGTCTTGTTTATTTCTTCCCAGGGCAGCCCAATGGATCCTATGGTGATGAAGAGACCTCAGTTGTATGGGATGGGCAGTAACCCTCATTCTCAGCCTCAGCAGAGCAGCCCTTACCCAGGAGGCTCCTACGGCCCCCCAGGCCCACAGCGGTATCCAATCAGCATCCAGGGTCGGACCCCAGGGGCCATGGGAGGAATGCAGTACCCACAGCAGCAGGTTTGTGCTGGTTTTAACCCCATCCCCCTTCAGATTGGTGACAAAGTTTTGTCTTTGTTGCTTACTGTCTACCTAAGATTGGTACTGAGAGAATTAGGGGGAATTTCACTGATTTTCTTTTTTCTTTTACTTTTCATAGTTTCTTCAGGTAACCACATGTGCAGTTTCCTTTTCTTTCAAAGAAGGAAAAGTGATGGGGCACGTGGGTGGCTCAGTCGGTTAAGCCTCCGACTCTTCCATCTCGGCTCAGGTCTTGATCTCAGGATTGTGACTTCTGCCCAAGTCGGGCTCCATGCTGGGCATGGAGCTTGCTTAAAAAAAGAGCGGGGTTGGGGTGGGGGGATGCTTGGGTAGCTCAGTTGGTTAAGCATTGGACTCTTGATTTCTGCTCAGGTCGTGATCTCAGGGTCATGCGATGGAGCCCTGCCTGGGGTCCCAGCGCGGAGCCTGCTTAAGATTCTCTTTCTCCCCGTCCCTCTGTTGTCCCCTGCCCACCCTCGCGTGTGCACGCACACGCACTTTCTCTTAAAAAAAAAAAAGGAAAAGTGAGCGTCCTAGAAAAAAGTGGACGAAAATACCTGTTTGGTAGAGGGCTGTTACTGTGTTATTGGCTGTATTTAAAAGATAGGCACTGTTATCATTTTGCACCAAGTTATATAGATCTAAACCCCTGAAGTGAACTTGGCTTTCTAACATTTCTGATGTCAGACTGGCAGATTTTGAACTGTGAATAGACTTCGTAAGGTGAAGTTTTAATTATTTAAAAAATAAATAACAATGAAAATGGCATTGACTTTGAGAGAAGTTTTTTATTCTCCCAAAAAGTTATTTTGCATTTATTTCTTAGCATATTAATTTCATATAAGAGGATTTGGTATATATCTGTTTTCTTAGATTTGGATGGGTTTTGTGTTTTTACTTAAAATACAAGAAGACTTCTCTTCCTTTTAAAAACCCAGTATTTTTCTCCTTTTTCTCTAGAATCAAATAGTTGGAGTTGCCTTAAATGACCATCTACTTTCTAGCTGTAGTAAACCTGGTCTCTTGGATACTGGAGAGTAGATCCTTGTTATGTTGGCCCAAGGAAGCATGAAATTAGGAAAAGACTAAATTAGATTCAGACTCGTTAGGGTGTTTAGTCACTAGAAACACCAGAAAGCCTTATTTATAAGTTCCCACACCGTGTCTTTAACACTGGGGGTGCATTAGGCTGATGCTGTATACATTTTACTGCCTCCTTGATAGGTTCTTCCATAACATTGCCAGTAACCCGTTCCAGGGTTTCATATACTTCCTCTCTGGAAATTCTTCCCTATGTTTGACCAAAAATCATCTGTGGGGAAAAAAACCATTGGATCCGACTTTTGTTCTCTCTAAAGTGGATGTGGAGAATGGTACACTCTTACGTGCTCCAGAGCTGTGTTGATGAAGTTGCATCTGAGCCTTTTCTTTTATAGACTGAATATTGTTTTTTCTCTTTATCTTTTGTCCCTCCTTGGGTGATATTTTTATTTTAAGGTGGTTATAGGGAAAGATAGAAGTAGCTCAGCCTTTGAGTCCTAGCTGTTGGTTCCCTAAACAGGCTTTGTTACTGTCAATAGTTCTTACTCTCCTTTATTAAATTGGCTGCCCAGAATTCTCTCAGTCACTTGCACACTTAATTGCTCTGTTAATTTTTTTCAACATGATTCCTTTCTTCCAGCAATATTTTGCTGCCTAGAGTAAAGCATCTTTAGCTGAGGTTACTAATTGTGAGGGGGAAATAATTTGTAGATGATTGAAAAGTAAGATGTGATTCTCTCTTTCTTTTTCTAGTTTTAATCTAATTTGCCCTTAGTTGAGGGGAAGAAGGCCCAGGCAGCTAGCTGCCAAAATCCTAATTTTCCTCTTTAGCTGATTTCCTTTGGGGCCTGATGGTTCTGTTTGATAACCCTGGCCACAGGAAGAGAGTAGAGGCAGCAGGGAAGAAGTAGCAGGACTAGTGGAAAGAAGTAGATGCTAATCACTCCTTGTTTTTCTGCATCTTCTTTTTTTCCACTATATTTTCCTGATGTCAGATTTGAAAGTCATTTCGAAAGGTGGTATTCTTGGCAAGCTACCAGATGCTCCTTTATCTTTTTCTCTCAATGAGTTCAAGTCTTATTATAAGGTTTCCACATTGGCATAGTTTGCAATCCCAAAGTAGAAATCCAACAAATGGAAAGAGTGTGTAAAGAATGATTTACCCAAGGGGTGCCTGGATGGTTCAGTCGGTTAAGCGTCTGACTTTGGCTCAGGTTGTGATCTCAGGGTCCTGGGATCGAGCCCCAGGTCAGGCTCTATGCACCACAAGGAATCTGCTTGAGGATTCTCTCTCTTCCTCTTCCTCTGGCCCTCCCCTCACGCATGTGCACGCATGCTCTCTCTCTCTCTCAAATGAATAAATAAAATCTTAAAAAAAAAAAAGAGAATGATTACCCAGGAATATTTTTTTCATTATTTTCTTCCCCAGATGTGTAAGGGTAAAAGTAGAGGACATACACAGATACATAGAGTAGCCTTAATTTTCTTAGGTTCTTGGTGTTTTTTAATTCCTGTGGCTCCTATATAGTTTTGAAATCCAGTAACTCTTGGATTTATTTGAAGGGACAAATTGATGAAGATAACTCACCAAGTATTTTAGCATATTTTTAATTAAGATTTTAGATTAGGTATTTTACTGCTAACCAGAAGAAATGCCTAATTCTAATTAAGGACAGATCTTTCTGATAATGAAAGGAAAATAGTGTATCTGGTAAGAAACTGAATGCCTTGGCCGTAAAATGTCAAACTTTCATATTGAGTTCATCATAATCAAGGATTCTAAATAATCTGTATTGATTTTTCACCCTTTCATTTAGTTATAATATAGTCTTAAAATATAGTATCTTGCTTTGATAACTAAAAGGCTAAAAATAGCTGTGAATGCACTTTTGAATGTGTGTAACATTTTAAAGGGGATGCAACTTTTATAATACCAAGTTCATGTGATCAGTTAGGTGTAGGCTAATTAATAGCCTTGAAATGGGAAAAAAAAACAGTTAAGGTTTTGGGTAAAGGTTATTAGAGCACATTTACTTTGTTAGGTTTAGCCTGTGCTCTTTGGTGAGGAATTCTCAGTGAATTGCTTTGTTTGTAAATTTGGGGTAATTATGAATTTGTCCACAGACAAGGTCCTGGCACAGTGATTGGCTGCTGGTCCTATCTGTTTTCTCCTAGTATTAATGTAATTGGCTGAGCATTTTTGTAATCATGGCTGCTAATGTTTCTCAGGGAAAAACTTGAAAGATAATGATGACATTGAGTTTTTATTGAGTGGGCATCACCACCTAGGCATGACTTTGCTTTGGATAGCCTCCAAAGCTTTCTGTGTTTGGTTTGTGAACCTCTAATGAGCTGAATCCAGTTCATTTAATATTGCTCATATATTTCTGCAAAGGATTAAAATGCAGGAATTCAAGTTTGTAAATTGAGTTGCCCACTTACCAGCTGAGTGGTAAGTTGTCTTTGGCTCAGGGGTCACAGTTTGATTCCTGGCTAGCATTCCACTCCTGTGATGGGAATTTTAAATGGGTATTCTGGTAGAAAGAACTGCCACGCTTATATGAAATTTAACATGGATAGTATCACTGCTTGCTTTTTGTTTCTGAGAGTCAGGAGGAACTGGCCACTGTGAGTGTTTGATTTTAGTGTTAACCTGGTGATTCTTGATTTGTATGGTGATAATTTTATTTTTGAAATATACTCATGACTAGGTCTTTGGGCATGACATGATAATAGTACCTCATTTTGGTATTTATTAACTAGAACTAGATTTGTGGTCTTTCACATGCTGATTCTCCCACCTCATCAGGCAAATACATGGCTAAACAGATTAGTTTTGCACAGTGCTCTAAAAACTAGTCTACTTGAGTTTTTATTGAGCCGAGAGGGGAAATGAATTTTCTATGCCTCTGTGGAGAATGTTCTGCCTCTAGGCTCCTGGAATTCAAACCTGGAGATGGTTAACAGAAGTATACTGGCTGATTTCATCTAATACAGAGCTACACAGAGGAAGTATTATCTTTAAGGTTACTAGAATCTGACTCTGAGTTTTTCAGATTTTTAAAAAACGTAGACACTAAGGTACCCTTTGCTGGATCAGGGATGTGGGTGAGCAAATGTTTTGTTTTACTTCTCTTGTCCTTTGTGATCATAAATGTATATACAGGCCTGTGCCGAGTTGCTTTAAAAAAGATTTTCATATAAAAGAAATAGCACCCAAGGGAAATTGGCTACAGAAGCGAAGGTATATTTATTTGTGTCCAGCACATTTCAATTACCGCATGTAGTGTGAGATTTTTCCTGAGTTATCAAGGGTTAGTGGGTTGATATTTTAACTATCCTTACCTTGCTGCCAAAGTATGTATAATCTAATGCCTATTGGCATTATAAAGCCAGGAAAAGGTAAAGAGGGCAAAGTGAGAGATTTAAGTTTATGAGTGTTTTTAGAATGGAAAAACACGACTTTTTTAGTTTTTAAAAACACATCTGTTATTGCAAAGACCTTTACAACAATAAGAGCATGATATGACAATAAGAATATAATCATTGTTTTGAAAGATATTCTGGCAAAATTAAATAGAAATTAGTTATTTTTGTTAAGGTGATCCATCTGAACTTATCACTTAACCTAATTAAAGTTGAGGTTCTTTTGAAAAAAAGACTTTAGAAGTCAATAGGTATTCTCATTTGTGTCTTTAGTTTATCTTCTGCACTCTTTGGGTATGTCTGTTTTGCTCTGTGTTTTTTGAGTAAAATATTTATTTCAGAACATAAGCATTTTATTTGGTACCATCTTAACAGCCAAAACACTTCTTCCAATGCAAATGTTTATTTTGGCAGCAGATGTTTCTAAAAGGAGACAAACATTACAATTGTTTGGCTAAAATAAATGTTTTCTTTGGGGTTACTGAGGCAGCCAAGCAAGTTCTAGATTCCCA